ATACCTTCTGAATCGAGGAAGAATGTTGCCTCCACTTCTTGCCCATTTTCGTTTAAGTCAATCTCAACATGAATCTGGAGGTGATTATCACCTGGGAAGCTGTAATCCACCTCATATTCCACTCCTTCATAACCTAAGGAGGGAATGTCAACCTTGCCCGAAAATCCAGAAAGGAAGTTGTTCTTGCCTTTTACAGAGAAAGTAATCTCTTTGTCCTCTCCGTAGCCAATGGTTATGATACGTTCTTCACCTTCACGCCCAAGACCAATGATCAGTGCTGGGAGTGGAGTGAGTGTCGACTCAATCCTGCTTCTAAAGTAATAACCATTGTTTTCTCGTCTCTCAAAGTGATTGCTTACATTGAATTTAAAATCATTGAAAGTGAGCTCAAAAGTGCCGTCCCGTGCCTCAGTATTCAGTTCAGAATCTAATTTGAGATGGAACATCTTGAGCATTGCGAAGGAGGAAGACCCATGAATCATCACGTACAGTCTGTCATCATTGCGGAAGCCATGAAGGCTGAAGTCCAGTGAGTTACCTTCAAACTCAAGTGAAAGACTAGCTAGTTCCTTCTCCTCAGTTCCTGTACCAGCAATGAAGTCCTGTACATCATATGAAGCAGCTATCCTGATATTTTGTCCACTAGGAGGTGTGAATGAAATGTCAAAGGAAGCTTTACTTGATTTGACGTTAGCCTTTCCACTGAAGGTCATTTGAATATCGTTTCTTTGATAATTAACTTGAGCCACTTTGTTTTCATACTGACCGTCAATATGAAGGTTTTTCACCACTTCAAAAGGTGTGCTGAGATCAACATTAAAGGAACCTCCTTTTTTGCCCTTCATGCTCACCTCCACATTGAGGCTAGCCTTCCTATCTCCCCGTTGATATGTTGCATTAACTGACTTGTCCTTACCAGTAAGCTTATACTGCAGGTCTACCTCTATTGTTTCAAATCCTTCAAATGGTGTGGTAAGCTTTCCTGAAATTTTATTTTTCCGAACTTCGAGAGTAAGGTTAATTTCCTTGTCATTCCAATCCAGCCCAGATAACAATTTGAAATTGTTACCATACTCAGCATTGGCATATGCACGTGCATGTGACAGGGTCTCAAAGTTGGAGTCAAAGATCATTTCATTTTCAAGATGGCCATCAGTAGATTTCCTAGTCCATTTCAGTTTAAATTCTTTTTTATCGCCATCCGTCGTCGTTCTTGAATAGTCAACTTCAGCATAAGCATCTGCAATATTGGACATGTCGTACCTGACGTTGATTAGAATATTTCCAAGGAATCTCGACTTGGCCTCTATATTTCCTTCAAGGGTTTCAAAACCATCACTTCGGTTCCACTTGGCTTTAATGAAGGATTCTGAGCGACCAAACTTGGCAACAGCTGAGATAGATTTTTGGTTTGGATGGCTGAAGTCATGACTGACAGTGAGTTCTGTTCTTTCAAATGTAGATCCTATGAGTGGGATAGAAATCATTGCTGTATTACGAGATCTTGTGGGGTTGATATCAGCAATGTTGACATCAATTTTAGATTCTCTACCATCGGCATTTATGAGGACAAAGATAACAACTTTGTGGTCAAAGTCATAATTTCCTGAGACTGAGACAGAGTTGTACTTGGAAATATTCGAAGTTGCTGACCATTCAAAGGATGCCGATTTCCTTTCTGCATTTCGCTCAAACTTTACCAGACGGTGGGAACCATGATAGTTTCCATAATCAAATGTACCATCTCCAGTGACTACACCGTTAGACTTGTCCCACTTAGAGGTAAACAGGAACTCGTCTGGCATGAATGGTCCAGCCTTGAAGCCTCCTTCAATATCCACATGAGCAATATCAATAATTGTTCCTTTCAACTTCAGCATTCCATATTTGGACTCATGGCCAAGCTTAAGGAAGTAGTCTCTATTGCTGCCATTGCGTTCAAATTTCCACTGGAGGAAAATGTTTTCAGCAGATGGATTTGTTGAAGAGAGTATCATGGTGGATTCCCGAAGAGTAAGTTTTCCTCTGGCATTATAAGTAACATTGTCCATTGTGAAAGTTATTGTAGCATCACTTGGATTTTCAACATTCCAATTCCCAGATATATTTTTCCATGGAGCTGCATAATGGGTAGGAGTTGTGATTCTCAACGTGAAGTCTCCATGCTGCGGGCTTTGAAGGTCTGCATTATATTCAAGATTAAAAGTATATAGTCTATCGGGTCTAGGAGTAACCTCTAACTTAATTTTCTTTTGGGCACTAGTCCGGTCTACTTCAACACGTGCATTGATGGTCCTAGCTGGTTCACGGAAGGTGTTCTCAACAACAATATCAAGTGCACCCTTTCCTGGCAATGCTCCTGATCCAGTTATGTCAACCTTGAAGTGTTTCTCGCCATACTGGGGTACCTCACGTTTAAAGAGGAAATTAAGCTTTCTGAAGCCCTCACGGTGGAAGTGAATGGTTGTGTGGCGATCTGCAACATGAATGTGAATTTCAAGGTGTCCCTTCTGTTCAGGAGCATTCCTCTCAAATTCCATCTTGAAAACTTCACGACCATTCAGCTTGATAATATGGTTAGCAGTGATACCATACTCATTAAGATTAACATGGTATTCCTGGAGGTAGTCCCTGACAAATTCAAATCGTGATGTTATGGCTATTTTTCCTTGAGTGAGGGCGATATTTACGGAGATTTCAGTATTTTCCTGTGGATTAGGTACAATAAGGTGACCTTCAATGCCGGATCCTGAGTATGAAAACAGAAGGTGGAAATCAGAAGAGGATGAAGAAGCTTCCAGTTTCATTGTGTTCTTTCTTTTTGCATAATTCAGTTGCACTTTTACTTCCCTGTAATTTTCATAGGGAGTTTCAATCGTCATGCTGTATTTCATTCTGTTACTGATAGAACCTGATCCAGAAATTGTGATCTTCTGTTCATTGATGGCTCCACTGAGGTAGGCTTGTTTTGTCTCTTCATCCAGTCTTCCAGTAAGAGCCAAGATCTCCCATCCCCGAAATTCACTCTTTATGTTCAAATCAAAGGATTGCTTACTTATGTCCTTTTCTATTGTGAGTATTGCATAATTATCATTCCTCCTCCATTCAGCCTTGTAGGAGCCTTCACCAGTCTTGGTGATCTCCCAGGAGATCTGTTCTGCTCTTTCAAATGGAGTCTTCATGTTGAATCTGAGGGAATTGAAATTGCCATCCAAAGATGCATATCCTGCATCATTCATCATTCTCATTTCAAGAGACCTCTTGGACCGGTTAAGAGAGCCAAACACATTGAAATTGTTGAGCCCTCTGAAAGGAGTTCGCAGATTAAAGTCCAATGTACTGCCAATGAACTTGCCAGAGACTGCAATAGCTTTAAGGTCTCCTTCTTTCTCAAGGGAGATTTCCAAGTTTTTATTTTCATTGGAAAGATCAATCTTAGCTACAAACTTAGCATCAGTCCAGCCGCTGAAAGGAGAGTTAAGGTTCCACTTGAACATGGCTAGCTTATCCTCAATAAATCCACCTACAACAAAGCTGTATCTGTGGTCATCTGCATTGGCACGGAATGCAAGGAGCTCCTCTCTGTTATCAATGTCACACTTAATTTCAATGAAGGTGTTCTGGAAACCACTGAAAGGAGTTTTGGCCTGGAAGGTGATGTCAGAGGCCCTTGTAGAGAGCCGCAGAGAACTGGAGAGAACGAAATTCTTGTCATTGTAAGTGATGTTTAGAGTAGCACTCTTTTGGCTGGTAGTCCAGCTGTACTGGGCTGAGAGGGACAAAGTCTTGATTGCATCAAAGGGAGTCGTCAGCTCAAAGAACATATTATCATTTGCATAGGAAATGCTGGTGGTAAACGTATAAGACCCAAACTGAATGACACCTCTTCCAGATCTGTTTCCATAGTTTAGGTTTCCTTCTACAGCAATAATGTCAAAGCCCTCAAATGGTGTCTGGAACTTAATAGCAATTCTATCATCACTGTATTGTCCATGTGCCTCGAAGGTCCATTCATTGGAATTTTGACTGATCTTTACATAAGCATCCAGTTTCTTGTTATATTCATCAAGGTTTAATGTATATTCAGCACCTAGGACGCTGAAGTCCTCAATAGGAGTCATAACCTTAAAAGATCCAGATTTCAGATTATAGCTTCCCTCAACATACAGCTTTTTCCTCAGTGAATCTCTTTGGAAAGAGATCTCGGCAGACTTCTTGTCAGAGATGACATCATAATGGGTATCCAGCTCTAGCTTCCTCCAGCCTTCAACAGGCATCTCCAGTGAGAGGTGGAGGTCTGATTTCTTGGGTGTAAAATATCCATGAGCATCAAACTCAAACTTATCCTGGTTTCTTTCAACAACAAGGGAGCATTCCATTCCATTCTCAATAGCCTGGTAATTGCTATTAATGACAACATGCTTAATGTCTGCTATTGGGGTTGCCAGTGTCAGGGTAACAGAGTTGGTGCTGAGTGAAATCTCAGCATGGAAGTCATACTTCTGACTATTCTTCTCAAATGAAGCTGAGACACTGTGTTTATTATTGAGGTATGTGTAATCACCATCCATCCTCACAGATTCAAAACCAGCAAATGGTGTTTCAACTTCAACATGGAAACTGTTGTCATTGACTGTGGAAGTCAGTGAGATATGCTGGTTATTGCCTTCTTTCATAAGATTTGCTTCGGCAGTTTTCGCATCTCCAGTAAAGTCGTATTTAGCATCAACACCCAGGGATGTAAAACCTGGAATTGGTGAAGTTGCATGCAGCTGCACGAATCCTGCTTTGTAGATCATTTGGCCTGTGAAATCTGCAGAGTAAGTAATGTCATTCCTTTTGAAGGTAATATGGAAATTCTTTTCTGTATCGACTAGATTAGCATCAAGATCCAGCTCAATATTAGCAGCATTTGCTAGAGGTGTCCTGATGCCAATATTCAACTTAGGCTTCTGAGTGTTAAAAGCAATATCTCCATGGAGATGATATTTGTCAGAACTCTTGGTGATCTCCACATTTCCGGTCAAAAGGTTGTTAGCCAGAGAATAGTCGCCATTCAAAGCAATCTTCTCCCACCCAGAGATTGGTGTTGTGATTTCTCCAGATACTGCATTTTCTGCTACACTGACTTGTACTTCAAATGTGCTGATAACTCCTTCTTTTTTGTAAGTAAAAAGTGCCCTGTAAGGCATGGAGGTGAAATCAAAGTTTCCTTCCAAACTGACTGTGGTCCATCCAGCAATGGGAGTTGTGATCTTGGAGTTGGCATAACCCTTTAGGGGACTATCAGCAGCTGTCTCTAGCTGCCAGTGGTAGTGGCGATCATTGCGGAAAGCCTTCACTTCGGCAGTCTTGACAAGGTTTCTCAGGTCCCAGTGAGCTTCTCCACCAAGAGTTCGTACAGCTTCAAATGGAGTAATGATATTGAGGGTCATCTCAGGAGCTAGAATGTCGTTTGTCTTGATGTCTCCCTTCAAGGAGAGTTCTTGCGAGCCAAATTTGGCTTCAAACTCCACTGTTTTCACTTGGCCCTGTAAGCTGTAGCTTGTGTCGACAGAAATGCTTTCATAGCCAACATATGGAGTATTGATGGTGAGATTAATCTTTCCCTTGACGTTTCTGATGTGCAGTGTTCCTGTAACCTCAATCTTGCGGTCATTCCTGGACACAAAGGCTTTAACAGCAGAACTGGAAATGAAGAATGAGGCCTTAAGGGTTTCCCATCCACTGAATGGAGTTGTGCCTTCAAAAACAATGGTTTGTCCTTCAAGTCGCCCTGACAGGTTGATTTCCTTTGAGTTGCGGCTCATCTTCAGGGTCACTTTCTTTTCACTACGGAAGTCATACATTCCTGAGACTGACATATTGTCCAGTGTCGTAAATGGTGATTGGAAGTCGATTTCAACATCACCATAGCTCTCCTGGTAGTTCCAACTGCTGACCAAACTTCCAGTTTTTCCATTGAAATCCACATTGATTTGGAATTCATCTACATTGATCTTTCCATTTACCTGGTATTTCTGGGTGTTGAAAACCAATACCGTATTGGCAGTGAAGGGCATGGCTTCAACATTGTACTCGCCACTGAAACCAAGTTTCTGTACAGCTTCAAGAGGTAGTTCAGACATAAGAGACCATTTAGCATGCTTGAGGTGACCAGCAATGGCTCCTGTTATCTCGTACCTCTTGTCAAAGTTAAGCACCAAGTTCACTTTCTTTTCGGCTGAAATGATGTCATAGAACACTTCCAGAGAAACTGGTTTAGTAAGATATGTAGAATCAATATGCAACTCACCATCTACCTTTCCTTGTTCAAAGTTTCCAGTGATGTCAATAGTAGTTCTGTTGGGTCCACGGGTTAAGACAAGAGTGACAGTCTTTCTTGGCTGGAAGTCAATGTTGAGTTTGTATCCCAGTTGCTGCCAGAATGGTGTTGTAAGAGTGGATGCAGTGTATAAGAATGATGAGTCACATTTCAGAACAGAGGCAAATTCAATCTTCATTCCAGGCCTGTACTCAAAGATAAGGGTTGGTTTGTATTCAACACCATCATCTTGGTGGTGCAGATCAAGTTTCATGTCTTCAGTCCAAGGAGTGGAGAGAGAGACTTGAGCATCAATCTGACGGGTATTTCCAGAGATCTTCTTGTCGAAAGTGCCCTCGAATTGCACAATTTGGCGATCCCACATGTACTCGAGTTGGTGTTTGTACAGAGAGCCAACATGCATCTGCTTGTTGTCTAATTTGTAGACTCCATTTACAATGAAGGAATTTTCCCAGTTGAACCAATCATTGAAGGCAATAGTATGGTCAATAACAATAGATTTTGTTCCCTTCATGAGGACTATGTTTGAAGTTCTTGTGTTGCCCTCCTTCTTGCTATCAATGTGGACTTTTATGTCATCTAGGCCATTGAAAGTGGAATTAACTTCAGCCTCAATGTTTGCCAAGCTCCTGGACACATCCAGAAGACCACCCACAGACACATGAATACGTTCAGAGTTGAAAATGACATCAACTGAGGAATCCATCTTGGTGTTAGTAACAGTGTGCTTGAAGGCGATTGAGCCCTTATTTACTGGGCTAGAAACATCAACTTTGAATTCTACATCATTCTGGGAGACCATGTTTCCTTGAGCATGCACCTTGACACTGCCATATGTAGACCAGATCCTCGTCATCTCGAACTGTGAAGTAAAGTGCCCTGTGTCATGGGTGTGCTTGAGAGATGCTGTCAGAGGGTAGGTGAAAGGAGTGATGAAACGCACGTCTACAGAAATGTCTGTAGTGTCGCCACTGACAGTCCTCTGGCCAGCTACATTAAGCATGATTTTCTTCTCCCCAATTTTACCTTCAGTTATCAAGTTGAGACTTTGTCCACTCAGAGAGTATTTAAGATTGGCATTTATCTCAGGGATCAAAGAAACTGGGGTGTCAACCTTAAATGCCAGAGCGATGTCATGCACATCACCGAGGTCTACGTGACCCGTGGCAGTAGCAGTAGAGATCTCCTGTCCATATTTCACTTCGAATGTGGTAGACAACTGCTTGTTGAGTAACTCATGATGCAGTGTCACAAGGATGTTCTCTGTGACAGGGGAAGTGAAGGTAGCTCGGGCATCTACACCATTTGCGTTAGGAGTGAGTTGGAAGTTGCCTTCCATTTTCTCTTGGTTCCAGGCACCCTCCAAGTGAGTCTTGATGGTGGAATCGGCCATGTTGTGATCCAGAGAGAATGTGATACGCTCATAGTTATCAAAGGTGCTTGTGAATCCTACTGTGGTGGAAAGGGCATTGGTGAAGAGTCCAGGTTCTACCTTGCCAGTGACAGTAAGTGCCATTTGTTGTGTGTTTCTCCATGTAGCAGAAAATCGACTCTCAACTTCATGATCCTTGATGGAGAAGCTAAAGGTGGCATCCTGTTTTTCCCAACCTTGGAATGGTGTCTGCACTGTAGCTGCCAGCGACTTAGTATTGCCAAGTGAGTAGTGAACATTGACAAAGATTCTCTTGTCAGCAGCCCATTTAGTTTCCACCTCCACACCACTGTCAATTAGCTTGCCAACGATGGACACTTCCCTCTCACCATATCTGTAATTATATATCATAATATTTCTCACGACTGTAGAAAGCATCTTGTGAAAATGATTGAGGGCTTCTACTAAAGAAGCAAATGATTGCATTTATCTGTCTAGAAAGATTCTGACCCTGTCTGTCAAATGTATGGCATAAACCAAACATTACACTTTAATTCTTACCTGAATGCCACTCCGACTTCGCCATTAGTAAACTGTCCATCAATGACGAAAGCTTTTGTAGGATCTACATCCTTGTCCCATTCGGCAGCAACATGTAGTTTCTTCATATCCTGTGTACTGGTTACCTAGTATTTCGTGGAAAAGAATTTGAATGAATGCTCAAATATTTAACTAATATTGGATATGAAACAGGTTTTCTCAGAATCATGATGATACTGATAAAATACAATATTTACTTGGGCATTGACAAGGATGTGTTTGACGAAGTTCGATTCAATTAGGAGGGAAGTGCGGGTGCCCTCAAACTTGGCCATGTATTCGTTCCCGTCGGTATTAATCTTGAAGTTAGCATTGGCCTTGTCCTTGTCTGCATAGATACCGAGGTTGGATTTCCAGTCGAAGTCAGACGTCTTGAAGAATCCATCGACAATGGTATTGATTTTACCGGCCACAGAATTATCCTTAAAGTTTCCTTCCAAAGCCATTTCTTTCTCATTAAAGCCACCAGTCACCTAGAAAGATTCACTTATTTAATATTTGTGTGTGTGTATGTGTGTGTGTGTGTATTTATAAATATATATATATATATATATATATATATATATATATATATATATATAATGATAATATTTAAAGCATCACAAGCACTCACTTGAGCTTTGTAGTGGCGAGCTGCAATCTTACTGAAAACAAATTCAATAGAAGACTTCAGGTTCTCAGACTGCACGTTGATGCGTCCAAGTGTTTCGACATCATACTGATGACTGACTTCTACTAAGACGGACTGTTCTCTCCCAGGAGACAGGCGAAGGTGATACTCACTCTTCAGGTGATTTAGAGAGAACTCCAGTGCATAGGAGCCAGAAATATCGATCTGATGTTGTGGGCAAATCAGTGTCGAGTGGATGTTCAATTCACGGTGACCATTGTTATTGGCGTAGGATACCACTTCGTTTGCGTTCCATGTGGCAAGGCCATGGACAAGCTTAGCGTTGTTTTCCATGCGTCCCTTTGAAAGCACGATGTTCTGGTTATACTCTAGTGCCATTCCAGGGTACTGTGATGGGGAGACGTCAAAGACAATAGTGTACTTGGAGAGGTCCTCTGTGAGTTCCTTCTTAAGAAGGGCAGAATGGTGAACTGTCTGTTTGGCCTCTTTCATAATTCTGTACTCTGCATCCACCTTGGATGAAAGGAAGTTCTCACCATAAGCAAACTCACTCTTGATTAATGTGTCAATGATTGGTGTTTTCAGATCAACGTCCATGGCAACAGAGTTACTTTCGCCCTCAAACGATGCTGTAAAAGAAAGTAGTCAGGTTTCAACATCCATGAAATAATATCACATAGACTGATTTCACTTTGTTTCATCAAACCTTATTCATACATTATTAGATCTCATTTTCACTGATTTAAACGTAGACCTTACCATGTACAGTGATGGGAGATGCAGTCAGCTCTGAGACAGTAACATCTGCAACGTATTTAGCAGCTTCTGTGTTGGCCTGGAAGTTACCTTGTATATTCAATACTTGACCAGCAGGGGAAGTGAGAATGAAGGATGGTACAATTGTCTTGACTGTTTTTCCGCTTGTACGTAGACCAGTCTCCAATGTGTATTGTTGGTTGCCATCAACAACGAGTGACAGCTTAGTGTTCTTGTTATTCTTCTGCCAGAGATATTCGCCCCTGCCTTGAACTGATTTAAATGGCGTGTGAAGGTCGAAGTCGATTTCTTTAGCAGCCTTAGTAATAGTAAGCAAGACTTTACGATCTGTTTGGGATCCTGGGGTATCAAACAAGAAAACAAACTGATCATCCTCATGTGTGTAGCGCAGGACATATCCAGTCTGAGTGTTTGTCTTCTTGAAGTGAACACTTGTTGCAAAAGGTCCTGTGAAGGGGAAGCTTGGGCCATATTCCGAGCTTAGAGCATAGTTGTATTCACCACACAAGGCAATGCCAGTGACTCCACTAGTGCAGCTCTCTTCTTGGATGAGGTTTGCAACATCTTTTCGGACCTCTTGATCATCTTCCAGGTAGAAGAACTCGGTCTTGACATTGATAACTTCCATCTTGTCCTTAGGTGTGTTGAAGGCAACGTCGACTAGTTTACCGCCGTTGATCTGAAGCTTGCCATCAAGGAATGTGGAGGTGTGAAGGTTGGAAGACATCTTCAATCCAGTGCGAGACACGTGGGCATCGACAAGCATAACGCCATCAATTTGAACTGCGGCAGAAGGATGGAGGTGCCCTTCGATGTTTATATTCTTAAGACTACGAGCCTTGAAGTTTCCATTCATCTTGAGTCCAAGGGTAGCTGTTCCCTTTGCAGTGAGGGTCACAGGTAAACCAGTTACGGTCGGAATGGTGTGGTGAGTGTCGATTAGCTGGTAAGATTTGGTGTAATCAACATCTCCCTGACGTGCCAGATCCATCAAGAATTCCAGTGGGTTAGAAGCACCGGATGTTTCAATGAGGTTTTCAAGTCCAAAGAAGTGGTGGTAATGAAGCTCATTGCCAAAGACTCGGAGATAGTAGGATCCCTCTGGTTCATCAGTCATCTGGTCAAGGAAGCCTTCCAGAGTGGTGGCATCAGCGTCATTATTCTGTCGCATATTCCTCAGGATGGTTTCAATGGTTTCCTCAGGATAATATCCTCTAGGACCAAAGAAGCGTTCAATGTAAGCTTCAAAACCTTCAATTCTGCCACCAACCTCAAAGAAGTTAATAGACTGTCCAAACAGGTCGAGGGTGAGGTTAAGCATTGCAGAACGTGGCAGGAAGGACTTGCTGGAGAAGATAACATTGCTTTCAACTGTGGCACCAGTGTTGATTTCATTCATGAAGAAAGAGGATTCATAGTTGCGAGAAAACTTGAGGGCTTCCGTACTGAACTTTTTCTGGAGAAGTTCCTCGCCAATCATTTGCCGAACCCACTGTTTTTCTGGAGCAGCTGATTCCTGCATGTTGGTCATATGAGTCCAGATGAAGGAGCCCACCTGGTTGACACCTTCTGAAGTGAGACGGTCCTTGATGGTGTTGATCAGCTCTGGAGTGGGACAGGTCATGAGAGCAAGGTAGGCAGCAATGCGAACCTCTGTGTCCTGAATTTCATCTTGGAAAGCAGCCAAAAGGTGAGATCGGTCATATTCACACGGAGTGTGCCTCCATGCCTCTATAGCAGCCACTCGCACTTCCATGTCATTATCTTCAGTATAGCAGCGTCTTAAGACTGAGTTGGCATTCACCCATCGACCAGCATTGCCAAGTGCCTTGAGAGCAACCAGTACCCTGACTTTCTCTTCTTCATTCACTGTGCGACAGCCAGATCCAAGTTGTGTTTCAATTCGGCGAATAACTTGCTGTACACTGGAATCCGCACCACAGTCTTCATTGATTTTGCAGAAGGCATTGATGAGAGCAGAAGTTCCCAACATTGCTTTTTGGCTTGGGTTGTTCTCGAGTAAAGGCTGTAAAAATGTTAGATAAAATGTAGGTAAGCTAGTAGAAAATATTTTCAACAAATTATACCTTCCAAATTTGTGAATGAATATCATGAGTATGTATCAACAACATAAATAATATATATATACATATATATCACTGTTTATAGGTTATGTATATACTAACAGCAAGAGCAATAAACATTTCTGCTGTTGGATTCTTGAAGAAAGCCAGCGAAGTGAAGAACGCATCAGCCTCAGACTCCGTCATATCCCCATTGATGAACATGTCTCTGACCACACCAAAAGAAGCAGCTGTTCCCACCAGTGGCATTGCATCAACCAGGAACTTCCGTGTGTGAGTTTCTTTAGCATTGTTATAAACAGTGTTGAGCTGAGGGTAATTCAGTTCCTTGAGTGATGACACAAGTTTGGCAAATAGTGAAGGAACCTCTGGAAGGATTTCACTGTTGGAAGCAATCTCCAGATTGCTCAAGATCTCCTCAACTGCTTCAAGCTGGGCTTCTGGGGCGAGAGTGTGCTCGAATGCTAGTGTATTGCGTTTGAAGTCAAAGTCTGCAATGAGAACCATAGTAGAGAGTTACAAGAGTAAACTTGTTCTATGCCAGTGTTTGCCATGTTTTGTGCAAGTTAATGGCAATGCTTACCTGTAAAACCTGGCACACAGAGATATACACACCTGTGATAGGCGTAAGTCGTTCCTGAGACATAAGAATCATGGTGGTCTTGGCAGTTGTAACAGCTCCTCCCTTTTCGCTAGAGAAGGGACGGAACA